TCCAGTGAAGCCCCCGGCCCACACACACACACACACACACACACACAGTCACCCCCGGGCGGCGGGGGAGGGGGGCTCCCTTTGAACTCTCTGTCTTTGTTCCGGGCACTTCCTGCCCCGAGACTCGGTGGGTAGCTGAGCCATCTCACCCCTGAAGGCATCTGCCGCACAGGTGAGCTGGACACCAGGATGGCCACCAGGGACAGAACGCATGGAATATTATTCTGATGGGCCTGCAAAACGTTTTTCTTATAGATAAAAATTAATTTAAAAATACCTCCAATCCTGAATGCCACTTTCCCCTGAGTTGTTTGAGGAGTGACCTTTTGAAAAAGACCCGAATTGTGGACACACCCTTTTTCTTTCTTTTTTAAATCCTGTGGGGAGGGGAGCCGATTGGAGGACCACCCAAGAGCAAGCCCAGCCTGAAAAGGCCCGAGGTGGGTTTTCCTGTTTCACAGCAGACAGCCAAGTAACGGGTTCCCTCCATCCGACTGGGCCGGCCTCTGGCTCAACTGTAAGCGTGAAGGCGGCTTTGACCCATTCTCCCGCCACTGGGCCACTGGCCCGGGCCCTAAACTTCCGCAGAAAGACGTCGGACGTTAACTTAGTCTGGCCCTGGCAGCCAGCCTTCCCCTCGGAGCTGCGAGCCCCGCGAGCGGGAGGAAGCCCGGGAACCCTGGATCGAATCCAGCGCCCCTCCCCCGCCCTGCAGGCCCCGGTCCCAGCGCCTCCCGCCTGTTGGCGACACCTACCAGCCCCAGCATCCTGCCGTCGCCCTCCATGCAGAGGTACAGGGCGCTGTGCACGCCCTTGATGGCCACTTTCCGCAAGGCGACGGCCCTGATTTCCACCAAACCTGATGCGAGAGAAGCAAAGAGCTGCAGCCGGGGCCGCGGGCCCGACGATATGTGGACGTGGTTGGTGCCCGTACCCTGCCCCCATCTCCTCACGCTGTTGGGGGCCCAGGGAGGGAGTGGAACGCCGAGGTGCCAAGTCCTGGGATTCCCACGAGTGAAGGGTCCGTAGGAGCCAAAGGGAGGAGGGGGGGCGATCAGGGGAGAGTAACCCATGGGTGTGGTAGGTCTACGGGCCCATGCCCCCTCCCCCAGTCCTCACGCTGTCGGGGGACCCAGGGAGGGTACAGAACGAGGATCTGCTAAAACCTGGTGTTGCCGGGAGTGGGGAGCCCGCGGGATTAGAAGGAGGTGAAGGAAGGAGGGGACCCTGGGCAGGAGGGAGACCCGGCGGGCACTCACTGTGCGCGCTCTGGCCCCGCGCGCAGTCCACTGCGCCGTCAGCGCGGATGCGCAGGAAGCAGCTGGATGGGCCGTGGGGGCCGGAGGTGGGCAGGTGGC